ATACGTATATATACATATACACATACATATACGTATATATACATATATATATATATATACATACAAATATATATACGTATATATATACATATACATACACATACAAATACATACATATACATACACATACATATACATACATACATATACATACATATATATACACACATATATACATACACACACACACACACACACACACACACACACACACACACACACACATGCACGTGTGCTGGTCATAAAATAAGAATATGATGAAAAGTTGATTTATTTCAGTAATTCCATTCAAAAAGTGAAACTTGTATATTATATTCATTCATTACACACAGACTGATATATTTTAAATGTTTATTTCTTTTAATGTTGATGATTAGAACTGACAACTAATGAAAACCCCAAAATCAGTATCTCAGAAAATTTGAATATTGTGAAAAGGTTCAATACTGAAGACACCTGGTGCTGCACTCTGATCATTAATTAACTGAAAACACCTGCAAAGGCCTTTAAATGGTCTCAGTCTAGTTCTGTAGCTACACAATCATGGGGAAGACTGCTGACTGGACAGTTGTCCAAAAGATGACCATTGACACTTTGCACAAGGAGGGCAAGACACAGAAGGTCATTGCTAAAGAGGCTGGCTGTTCATAGAGCTCTGTGTCCAAGCACATTAATAGAGAGGTGAAGGGAAGGAAAAGGTGTGGTAGAAAAAACTGTACAAGCAACAGGGATAACTGCACCCTGGAGAGGATGGTGAAACAAAACCCATTCAAAATGTGGGGGAGATTCACAAAGGGTGGACTGCAGCTGGAGTCTGTGCTTCAAGAACCACCACGCACAGATGTATGCAAGACATGGGTTTCAGCTGTTGCATTCCTTGTGTCAAGCCACTCTTGAACAAGCGACATCATCAGAAGCGTCTCACCTGGGACTGCTGCTGAGCGGCCCTAAGTTCTGTTCTCTGATGAAAGTAAATTTTGCATTTCCTTTGTAAATCAAGGTCCCAGAGTCTGGAGGAAGAGGAGAGGCACAGAATCCATGTTGCTTGAGGTTCAGTGTCAAGTTTCCACAGTCAGTGATGGTTTGTGGGGCCATGTCATCTGCTGGTGTTGGTCCACTGTGTTTTCTGAGGTCCAAGATCAACGCAGCATCTACCAGGAAGTTTTAGAGACTTCCTGCTTCCTGCTGCTGACCAACTTTATGGAGATGCAGATTTCATTTTCCAACAGGACTTGGCACCTGCACACAGCGTCTAACTACCAGTACCTGGTTTAAGGACCACAGTATCCCTGTTCTTAATTGACCAGCAAACTCGTCTGACCTTAACCCAAGAGGAAGATGTGATACACCAGAGCCAACAATTGAGAAGAGCTGAAGGCCACTATCAGAGCAACCTGGACTCTCATGACACCTGAGCAGAGACACAGACTGATCCACTCCATGACACGCTGCATTGCTGCAGTAATCCAGGCAAGAGGAGCAACAACTAAGTATTGATGCTGAACATGTTCAGACTTTTCATGTTCATACTTTTCATGTTCATACTTTTCAGTTGGACAACATCTCTAAAAATCCTTTTTTTTTATTGGTCTTAAGTAATATTCTAATTTTCTGAGATACTGAATTTGGGGTTTTCATTAGTTGTCAGTTATAATAATTAACAATAAAATAAATAAACATTTGAAATATATCAGTCTGTGTGTAATGAATGAATATAATATACAAGTTTCACTTTTTGAATGGAATTACTGAAATAAATAAACTTTTTCATGATATTCTATGGTAATTTTATGGCCATCACCAGTATATACAGTATATACACATGCATACATACATATCCACACAGCGTCAAAATTATACATAAAGTTTAAAAAAAATGTGCATACATTCACCTAAACCTTTCAGTAAGTGATGCTGAATATATAGTCTTCATTCCACAAGGACAAGGCCTCCTTAGTGACCATGATTGACTAAAGCTGGTAGTTTGTCAGCATTAAAAAAAGTTTGACAGCATTTATTGGATTGGCCAATCTGCCCCCCTTAGATGAAGAAATATTGTTAGGATGTTCAAGAACCCATGAACTGTCTGTGTCCACAATGAAGGCAGTTTTACGTCACCGTTGACCAAGACAGAAGCGCCTGCTGGAAAAGCAACACCTACCAGTTCGTCTGAAACCAGCAACTGCCCACACAGACAAGACAAACGTCTTCTGGACAAACGTGTGATGGTCAAATGTGGTGAAAATTGAGTTGTTTGCTCCCAACAACTAGAAGTTTGTTAAGAGTTGTTAAGGTGAGGCTTGCACACCTAAGAACACTGTACTAGCTGTCAAGCATGGTGGTAGTATCATCATGCTGTGGTGCTAGAACAATGCACAGATGGAATAATGGCCCTCTAAATCATTGGTGCCGGTCCTGGCCCTCAAGGGCCACTATCGTGCATGATTTAGTTGTTTCTCTGCTCTTCAGCAGGTCTTTCATTTCTGCAGAGGCTCATTAGTTACTCAACACCGGATCCTGTGACCCACGACATAAAGGCTGATGCTGAGAGGATGAAAACTTCTGACCACAACTGTATGCATCCTGTATGCATACACTATACATACTGTATACATACAGTATGTATACTGTATGTATACAGTATGCATCCTGTATGTAAACAGTATGTATACTGTATATACACTATGTATACTGTATGTATACTGTATGCAAACAGTATACATACAGTATACATAGTGTATGCATACTGTATACATACAGTATGCATACAGTATGTATACTGTATGTATACTGTATGTATACAGTATACATACAGTGTGCATACAGTATGCATACTGTATGTATACAGTATGCATACAGTATGTATAGTGTATGTATACTGTATGTATACAGTATGCATCCTGTATGTATACTGTATATACATTGTATGTATAGTGTATGTCACAGGTAAAATATAAAGATGTACTTATTCCTTGAAGTCTGTCCAGTCCGGTCACAGTCATTTATCCTGGTTGGTTCAAATCCTTTTGGGTTGAAGGCTGAACGGACCTGGTCTTCCACCACAGGTGGAGGGAACTCTACAGCAGGAGTGCGTGAGGTAAAAATGACAGAAAACTGTAGTTTTCTAGAAAACAAATGCACTGTTGTGTCATCTCCTACCCCCCCACCCCCCACCCCAATGAGAACAAGGCTTGACCTGAAAAATGGCCTCTACTGAACACAACAGTGTACATTGAATCTGTGAAGAACGCCATGCACTGGGAAGCTGCTGGGCTTTTCCCACATACACTATTAGAAATCTAAGGTGTGGGGGTGGGGGGGGGACTTATCTATAATTAGTTTATTACAGACATTAGCAGGTACTTGGTGGCTAGCATTCCTTACTAAGCAATGCACTGTTGCTAATGGATCTGGCAACACAACAATCTAAAGTTGTTGTGGTTCAAGTGCATAGAACATTTCAGTTTAAAGGGATATGTTATGTTTTTATTAAGTGGGGTGTGGGTAGTATTTAGGAGTAGTCAGCGTCTTACCTGAAGTTGACAGCAGTGTATGCTCGGTTAAAACAAAAAAAACCACGAACGTTCAAACCGTGTCGATTTTCTCAGTTTCAAACAGCTGAAATATCAAAACTTGTGACTTTTACATCATTTATTTCATTAAACAGCTACATGAACTGAGTAAATGTTTTCAAATACCTTGTTTCACGTGATCTGGATTTCAAAGATCGTGGTGCAACAAAAACATCCAGTTCTGAAGTGACCCTTTAAAAATCCACCATTATTCTTTAATGTTTTAAAATCTAAACTTCCCCGCTTTAAGGAGCCATTAGTGTGGCTCTCGGTCCCAGTCCTCCCTGATTCTACAACCTGAGATAGCTTCGGCTGCTGTCTATCCCAGGTAAGACTCTGACTACTCATCGGCAACTCAAACAACCGCGCTTTTAAAAACAACACAATTTGTCCCTTTAAGAAGAAGTAACAATCTCACTACAGCAGATGCAGTAACAGGGCCACCTGAAAAGCTGAAAACTCCTGACAAAAGCCAAGAGTGACCCTACAGAGCAGCTGGTCTAGCACTGGAGAACTAAGGCTTTTTAAACTCTAACGTCTGACTGACACAATGCAGAACAGCAGCTCCCACCTTCAGACACGACTGGTTTGTCAAAGAAGTCTGGTGCCTTTGTGGTGATGTAAGAGCATACTTTGTTGTTGGTAGTTTGTCATGATTGACATTAGTACTCTTTTTATTTCTGTGCCAGTTCTCCTACTTCACAAAAACGGAACCATCCAGACCACCACCTGTAATTCACTCACTGTGGAGGAGTACTACCTCAGTTCAAAGACGCAGAACTCTTCCTTGAGAATGGCATCCTTCCTGAGACCAAAGGAAGGCTAAAACACTGAGACATCAACAGGCAGAGGGACAGGGTTAGGGCTTCTCCCCCACAGATCCACAATCAAGTGGGAGTCGGTCCAAGCCCTCCTGGTCAGGTGACTTCTGAGGAACGTAAAGCTCTAACATGACGGTTCGTGTCATCTTCTCATCAGATCAACAGCAGCCGTTCACTGGTCTGCGCAGGAGATGAGCAGTGGAGTCTGGGTCTTCTTCTGACTCTGAGCCAAGCTCCTCTGGTCTCTGAAACAGGACATGACACATTTACTAACCCAACAATGCACTTCAGTTCATTTATAAAGGACCAAGTCACAGCAGAGTCATCTCAGGGCTGAACAGAAACATTCACACAATAACATTAACAACAGTTTGGCTGCAGACCAAAGCCCCCAGGATACTCCACATACGTACGTCCGCAGGGCACGTCCACACAAAGCTCAAGTTTTACGACTGCGTACTCGGTGTCGCACAATAAACTGCCTGGCAACAGACTGTTTTGTATGCGACACCAATGTATTAAATTCCTCTTCTTCATCCTGATCTGGTCTTTTCTTTTGTTGTTCAATGATCTCCTCCGTTGATGTCATGACTGAAATGGTGATAAATGAAAGAATTTGTCACGAGTAAATTAAACTCAGGTCCAGCGTGGCTGCAGGAGGGTCTGGAAATTTCCTATTGGGCTGGTCTGATGTGTGGGCTGCAGGGCCAGCGCTCCATTAAAAAAAAAAACTTTTTATTAACAACATATAAACACAGAACACCGCTGTGGCTGCCAGCTCTCGTTTTCTTTTTTCGACCTGTCAATCAATCCAGTAGGCGTGTCAACAAATGACCAATCGGCGACTTCAATGTGTCCTGAAGGTCAACGCCCCTTGTCTGCAGAGCTGCTCTGCAGCTGCTCAGGGGGGACGCTTGAGTATGAAGCATGTACCTCCGTGCAGACAGACGTACGTGGGAGTATACTGGGGCTTAAGGATTCAACGTTCACTTTGCTAGGTTTGTCTTCTGTGTTGAGAAGAAATAAATGTCTAAATAAAATGTAAATGATAAAAATCAGGATGCAGCTGGGCATCAAACAAAGAAAGGAAAAAAGAAAGGAGCAATCGTCAATCCTTTACTGACTGAAACAACTTTTCAATGGCTCTAAATGTGAAATATGAACACTAGTATTTTTAGACCAACCGAAACAAAACTCAATAGCTAAAAAGAAAAAATATTTATATAATAGACAAAATAAAAAGGCACAGCTTCATGTGGTTAAGACACAAGTCATGTCAAACAGCAGCCAAATATAAGGAAACAATTCAATTCAATTCAAAAATACTTTATTAATCCCAGAGGGAAATTATTTGTTGTTGTAACTCATTATCCTCATTTCATTAAGAGATGTTATAGATGCTGATGGCTGTAGACAGGAAGGATCTCTTGTAAAGGTCCATCCCACAGTGGATCCTAAGAAACTGGCTGCAGATGCCGTCCAATCCGTCCACCCAGACTCGGCTGGCCTCTTGGTTCCCCTGGACTGTAGGACCGCCTGAATGCTGGGCAGAACTCCTCCCAGAGTCATGGCCACTCCTCCCAGCAGTCTGCCGAGCTCCTCGTCGCTGCGGACAGCCAACTGTAGGTGCTGAGGGACGATCCTGTCCTTCCGCTGTCATGAGCCGTGTTTCCTGCTAGTTCCAGGATCTCAGTGGTCAGGCACTCGAGCACAGCTGGCAGGTAGATGAGAATGCCTCCACAGAACATCCTTTTCAACTCATTTGAGAGTTGGGGCCATAGTTGAGATATTATTTGAGCTTTTGAGATGTTAATCAGCTGCTGTTGTTGTAGAAAACTGCCTTGTTGCCATGGTTACGCATCATAACAAATGTCCAAAACTAAAAGTCTCAGTAAAAATCCTTCCAGCTGCACAGCATCTGATACCAGAGGAAACAATCATCCAAAAAATGTGATTTACATCCAGAAAAAGAGGAATTAAAGTTTCCAAAAGCAAAATCTCAGAATGAAAGTAACAGAGCTGCTCCAACATGCAGCCACCTGGAGCGGAGCAATTCTAGAATTGAATTCAATTCTAGAATTGAATTCAATTCTAGAATAAAAACAGCCCAGTTTGTGTAAGAAGCAGAGAACCTGAAGTTCCACTGGTGCAGTTTGTAACCATAGACAGCTATGAAAGTGAAACTGTTGTGTTGTCATCATTGTATGTTCCCGTAGGATGACGTCATTAGTCCTCTGCATTCAACCCATCGCAAGTGAGATGCACCCAAGAGGAGCGGCTAACAGCTAATTAGGCACCAAGGGAGAAGTTGTCTTGCTCAAGCACACCATAGACCCTTTTCCACAGCTCCTCTTCAGCCCGGTTCGGCTTGGTCCAGTACGGTTTTGAGCCTTTTCACACTGTCATTTTTTTCGTGGAACCAGACCCTTTTTTGGTCCCTTCTTCTCAGTGATACCAACCGAGCCGGCACCAAAATGTGACGTCAGAACACTGTCGGTCACTGATCAGGGGGAGGAGTCACTGGATCTCTCAGAACCTTTTCAAAAGGCGGCTCTCAGCATCTGGGGCTGGGTGGTGGGGTGTGTGCCGGCACGCCCTGGTGGCTGCCTGCCGGGACCTGGGTGCCCTGACTATGTCGGGCCTCTGTTGGGGGGTGGTATGACCTCGGGACTTAGGGCTCGGTGTCCATGGCCGGATCTACTCTGGAGGGGCGGGTTGCCGGCGGGGCCTGTGGACTCGTCGCTGCAGCCTCCTGGGGGTTTCTGCATTGTGGTGGCTGGGGATCACCCGGGGCTTCCCTTTGTTTCTCTCTCTGCGGGGTGCGGGTGTCCCTGTTGGGAGACTCCCAGAGCTTGGGGACTCCGGGCTTGGGGGCCGCTGTGTGTCTGTGGCTCCGGTCTTCCCTGTGTTACCATCATGTCCTGTGGGGACGGGTCTGTGGGTCCCCACATCCACTATTGAACATTTTTATGGAGAAACCTTATAGTGACATCATGCTCACACAGGTGTTTAGATCCAGGTGTTTATCAGATACACACTCAGTTGGGTTGTGGTGGCCACTAAATATATCTTGTATTACCATGTACTGTATAAAATACTTTCTAATGATGTCATAAGTATCATTATATAAGTTGTTTGTTGTTGTGGTTTCTCAGTTTTGTCTTTTCTTCCCGCAGGTCTAGAGTCAGACTTCAATGATGTTGACTTGTGTTCTCTTTATCTCTCTCTCTCCTCTATTCCTCTCTCATTCTTTACCTTTTAACTCTTCTCTCACTTTTCTGCTTTGTTATCTTCTTTTTTTCATCCCCGTGTCCATTACATCTGGAACAAACCCAAAGCATATTCTAATAAAATTTAATTTATATATCAAGTGGAGCATTAAGTCCAGCCATGATGCTCTGCTGGTGAAAGTAAATCTGTTGGGCATCACTTTGACACTCACACAATAATTCTAAGTGTCACAAAGTTGGACAGGACAAGGGGAAGAAAAAGAAGAAACTTTTCAAAACACCGATCCACCATTTGCAAATACTCAGAGCAGCAGCTGGTGTAGGGATGGCACCATCTTGTGGGCCTTCCTGCCTGTGCACCCACGTGTGCGTCTCATTAGTTTCGATTAATTGCACCTCCTGTTTCCAGCTGTTTGTAATCACGTCCTGTCTTATCTGTGTATTTAAGCCTGTTCTGTGAGTCTTGTCCTTTGTCACGTCATCGTTGGGTCGTCCTTGTCCTGTTCTGATGTATCCTGTCCTGTTCCAGTCCCCTGAGTGTGAGTTGCTGCCACGTCAGCCATTTTGGATCAATATTATTAAATATCTATCTCTTTGTACCTCCTGCGTCCTGAGTCCCGTCTGCAACTATTGGGTTCGGTCCTTGCCTGATAAATCCCGACAGCTGGACCTATTTTTAAGATTTTAAAAACAATATTGGCAAATGGACTACACTTCTATAGCACTTTTTTTTATCTTATCCAGATCCTCAAAGCTCTTCACTACAATCTGTGCCTCATTTACCCATTCATACAGCTCTCTACTAGATCTGTACAAAGATAATTGAACAAATCATCACATTCAGACACTGATGGGACACACATCAGAGGCAATGAGGGGTTCAGTGTGTTGCCCAGGGACACTTCAGCATGTGACTGCTGGTGGATTTGAACCCCCAACTCTTGCATTGGAGGACTGCTCTAACCACTCAGCCACAGCTGCCCCTGATAATGACAACACCGTGGTCGAACGCTGAAGTGCACGTGTTTTTTGTGCTTGGTGGCCGACAACAAGAACTTCAGAGCTAGCTACCTGGAGCTCCGCCGGTCTCCCCGGTCCTCTCCACCGGAGCCCACTCAGGCCGTCGTCTCCCCGGCTCCGAGCTCCGCAGGTCACCGCGGAACATCATATGAGCTGCTGACTCGCAGGCGGCCATTGCCCGGACCGCGGCCTCGCCTGCGCATAAAGGCCGAACCCTGATCTCAGCAGACGGGCGGCACAAGGTGAAAACAATTTTTTAAAACATTTTATGTATTGAAAAAAACATTTTTTATCAGTGAAGATTAAAAAAAATAAATAACGGTGCGGGCTTTTTCATGATATCCTGTTTTCACGTTAATGACTTTATTAAATAATCCATTAATTAAAGTTAACTCAGCTGAAAAATTATAAAAAGACAAAATTATTGAATCTCAGGAATATTTCCCTCCAACATGTTTAAAGAAGAGACACGGCATTTAGTTCAACTTTCTTCTAACCCACAGATGAACAAATCACTAAACAAGAATTAAACTTTAAATCAAAGGTAAAATAAAATAATCTGTATACAAGAAAAAAAAAAACATCTAAATTGAACAATAAAGTAGACATGAGTGCAAACACATCAATGAAGAAAACCTATAAAAATGTAAATATCAGAGTCAGAGATTTTTTATTGTCACTCCACCTCATGTGGTACACATGGTGGAGTGAAATGATGTACACAGGGTCCCAGTTACATCCAACAATAAAATGTATAAGAAAAACAGTAATAACATCTAAGATATGAACTAAGAAAAACATCAACTAAATATACACTAAGCACTCATAACATAAAACATTGAACATCAGCACAAACATGAGTCTGTGAGCAGATGTGCACGCATGAACACATCAACATTGAAACAGATCAGCAGCAACATGAAACAGATCAGCAGCAACATGAAA